ATCCAGGTATTTTTACCCCGGATCCTTCCCCCCTCCACAAGATGGACTGGCCCTTCAATTGCTTCCACTTCCGCGACATACCGATCCCGTTCATTGAGTACAACTTCCATGAAACCATGGAAGTGATTGGGCTTGCTCGATTCTGTCGCATACTTCGTTCCCACCAGCATAACTAACTCCAGTCTTTCCGCGACCAGGGATTTGTTTCGTCGTGAGGTCTGCGGAATTACGGCCTTAGATGGGCTAAATGAAAAGTATAGCAACGGTTTGCATACCTTCCTCCCTTGGAATGAATCCTTGTCCCTGTCTTCACTTTCACGAACCCAAATATCGTGGCTCAGCAGCTGATTCTTTCCTGTCTCTTTGGTACACCGCAACAGGCTCTTCTCGATCTCCAACGGGCGTTGAAATGGCGGGAAGTAGTTTGCTACTGAGTTGTAAATTTCGATCATCGTGGATTTCGCGTAAGTTTCTCTCTGGCCGAGTACCCTCTCCGCCACGCGCTGCCCCCAGAGTTCTTTGGCATAATCGCGGAAAAGTACCGGTAGGTCAGGAATAGAAAAGTGGGTCGCAGCCTCACTTAGCGAGAGCCGCTTGATACCTCTTCCTCTCCCGGCTAATCTAGTCCGCTGAACTACCTGATCTACTTGCTGCTTCCGCTCGCGGACTTGAATTTGTAGGCTGATCGCGGGTGCTAGGTTCCAGCTAGGTCTGCCAGTAGTTCTAACGGCATCCCGGTGCACCTCCTGACTTCTCCCCCGGTGTCTCGCAAACCTGGTGGAATGCAATCTCTCGGTCCGAGTCTGCATACCGAGGACCCTGGCGGTATCATGATCGTACATTCCACTTAAAGCAAGGTGCTCTACGATCTGGACCATGTACGCAATCCCAGTGTGTCTATCATTGTACCAGAGCATTTGCTCTTCGTACTGGACTCGATTGGAAGCGCGATATGCTTCTTTGACGTTTTCTATATGCAAAAGTTCCGATATGTTTGTAGAGAAATTGTCGGGCGATCCCATTCGGCGGATACCATTCGAGGCATGACTCAGGATGTGCATTTTTGGTAACTGAAAATGGTAGATCGCAGACTCTAGGTTTTCCTTTTCCGCCTCCATCCGTCGCCTCGACCAGCCTTCTTCGCTACCCTTCGCCACCGTCGCGGCCCATCTCTTCTCAAAGTTCTTGGTCCTCGCTTTTGTGTTTCTTTGCGCAGGAAACACAGATTTGGTCCTATAGAATGTTGCAAGTCCGCTATCTAGCAGACCAAGTGTGTAATCAGAGTGGCTGCGCTGTCCAAGGACCAGGAGAAATTCGATGATGGATCTGACACATGTTAGGACCTGTGCCTCCGCGGATTCCATCGACCGGACTCGATCGGTCAGCATTGGGCCTAGCACAGCTAGTACGAATCGCATCATAGTCCTAATCTCTTTCCCCTGCCATGAACTGACGTCTTCGTACCCTCGCTTAAACGGTTGAAAACCTGGGTATGGTGGAATGGACTTAAAACGATCATTGAACCGGCCTAGAATTCCCCGCTGTCGTAGATATCCTACCAACCAATCCATCATTGTCTTAAGAATTCCTAGATGCAGGAGATGAAGAGCGTCGGGTTGCCAGAGGGTGTATACATTGCATAAGGGATACCTCCAAAAAGGATTTTCCTCCGCCCGCAGCCCAACGGATGTCAAATACTTTACATCTTCCGGGGTTCCTTGTTCTAGCGCTTGCTGATAGGACTTTGGATCGCGGTCTCTAAACCCTCTAACTCTGCTACTCGGCTCGTGTCCCATCTCAGTCCGTGGGATCTCGCAAATTGGGCAAAGGCCATTGATTATTCTTGCCAGGATGACGTGTTCTGGGTAGTCCGCAATCCAGGCTGCTAGAACTGGGTAGCATCGGCGGACCCAGCCATCGGCGCAATCCCATTCATAACCTGCACCGGCTATATTGAGGTCTGTTATCGGCTTCAGAATACGCTCAATCGCTCCATGCCAAGACCTGTGAATCTCACCGCCCTTCGGGTTCTTCGGAGGAATCGGTAAGAGAGCAACCAGTACCCAGGCGCATTTAGAGCTTTGCCGTCGTCTGTCTTTTCTAATGTTACCGATCGAGATATAGACCGGCCAAGCAGCCTTGTCTGCGGAGAAGTTTGTAAGATGTGTTTTGTCTGAAGCAAAAAGGAGAGGGACCACTGTTCCGCCCTGGGGCACTAAGTCTTGGGTGTGCCACCACCAGTCCACGGTATGAATCTCATTATATACTCTGCGGCCTGTACTATCGAAGAGGGGCTCGGGACCAAAGACCAGATGGTCTGCGAAAGGTAAATGGCCAAGAAGCAGCCGGATGCAGAGCAGGATATTGCGTGAGTACAGTGTTCCGGACTCACATGTGGATTCAGACCAGCTTCGGGGTCCAAAGCCGTGTTCCACGCGTTCAAACAAAGACCATAGCTCATCTGCTGTCTGGAACGAGGTGCACTTGTCATCATCCAATCCACGCTGTTAATACTCATTGATCGACCCTTTGGTTAAGCCCGATCGCAGCATCCACCACCCAAGCTCAAAGTCTTTGGCATTACGAAATGGGTGCCATGGGTTCCAGTCCGCGTCTAGGTATCTGCGATAAATTCGACCTGCCGCGCCATAGGACCTCCCAGCTTCACGCGGGTGATACTGAGTTTTTCCAGGATCGGGCAAACAGGTTAGGTCTGGGTCCTCCGGTTCTGGGCTTCTCGGTTCCTGGAAGTTGTTTGAGTCTGCGGATGGCTGCCATTCAAAAACTATTCTTTCAATGATGTTTAGTCTGAGCCAAGGGGGAGTTCAGTGTTTAGAACAAAACATATGGTCCATCCAAGGATCGTCATTTCTGGGCTGCCTATTGCTTGTACTCGCCTCCCTTTCACTTGGCGGACCACTGAGGTATGGCCTCTGCTGGTTCTGTTTTGTCTGCGTTTGCCTTTTCGCGCACTGGTTACAGTGGATTGATAGGCCCTTGCGTGTCTTGAAGGGCCTTCCGCAGTCCGGTCAGATAGGATTCGACGTCATCGCGTGGTAAAATAGTACTGCGGTGGTGATAGGGGGGATCGATATGATGGGAGTACAATCAGTATTTGTGTAGTGTTTGTACAAGTGGTATACTTGTTGTTCAGGACAGGGGCTATTTTGGTGGTTAACTATTGCTGACTTGTAACAAAACATCTCTCCCTGGTTCTTTGTACGGTACGCATGCGGTGTGCTTCAGGTACGTGCCAAGGCGGACCGATACCAGGTGCTCGGTAGTGCACCTAACACGGATCTTGCCGATACGGATCTTGCCGTACAGATCCCGCGACAGTCTACCGTGTTGGTAATACGGTACACTTGAAAACTAGGGCTTGTTCGACTGTACCAAAGCTTGTTCAACTGTACTGAACGTACTGTTCATCTTGAAAACAGGTGTTTGTTCAAGTACGCGAAATACACAACTCGCTGGGGACATGTGAGGCTTGAGAGTTAGACATCATGAACTCTGGATCTTGAGAGTTCCAGGAAGGCATATATAGAGACCAGTTTTCGCCCCCAAGCCAGAAGATTATACAGCAGCAGTAGTCCCCCCATACACAACAGCTTATATCAGAACACACGCTATTCAACACCCTACTACCCTATCCCTTCATTTCTGTTCTGCGCCCTATCCGCAGTCCTACTTTTAGTCACGATCTCCCTCAGTCGAACCCCTCTCTCCGGCCTTACCCTAGACCGCAAACACCAGAACTGGTACCAGATATACATAGGTACTACGCAGTCTCCCCAAATACCGGTAGGTACGCTAACGCGTCTCCCAAATAAGCACGCTAACTCCAAGCTTCGGCCCAAGCGCTGATCCTTACCATCTTCAGACCATCTAACATTCTCAACACTTGAAGAATAATTAACTCCGCAGACCTGGTAACCTGCGCACCCTGCGCACCGAGACTCCCCCCAGCCATATTAGATATACAATTAGGTAAGGAAACTTCTTACTATTTGCCATTAGCGCGGTTACTAATTTTACATTATGGGAGAGGGCAGTGATTTTTTAGAATGCCGAAGCCTACCGCAAATGAAATTTGTCGGAAGCTTGGCTTTCCTAGTGTCAGCGACCAGCTCTACAAAGAATGGGTTTCGCGATTCAAACGGGTCTGGCTTCGTCAGCAGCATCCGGAACTCATCCCCGGACCAGTGGCTCTTGGCAACGATGATAAGACCGTGGAGTGGGAGTCTGGGCTCCGACAAATGTATTCCGACTTCCCAACTCATTGGGGTGAGGCAAACTTTGTGAATCGGGTGGATCCCCGGGAGTGCGCTGCGCAATTCATGATTCAGCAGACGAAGAAGGTCCGCTCCGATATGGCACTGGAGGCAACGAAGGCCGCTGAAGTTGCCAACCGCCCCGTTGCACCCCCGGCCCCCGTGACTGCCACGGCCTCCCCCACGACTACCACTGCCCCTGCGACTACCACTGCCCCTGCGACTACCACTGCCCCTGCGACTAGCACTGCCCCTGCGACTACCACGGCCCCTGCGCAAACCACTGCCCCCGCGACTACCATGACCCCCTTGGCTACTAGCAGCCCCTTGGCTACCAGCAGCCCCTTGTCTACCAGGAGCGCATTGACAACCAAGAAGCGGGCTAGAGCTTTTGATGACGATGAGGATCATGAGAGCCGAGCCAGGCCGCCTACAAAGCGGCCGAGACAAGTTGAGCTGCCGGAGTTGCAGTTCATATCTTTCACGGTCACGTTCCCCGGCCCCAACAGTACCCGAGTCCCCTCTACATCCTATGCTAGCGTCAGCGAGTTCCTTCGCCTGGTCCATTGGACTTGCGAAAGAGCTCCACAACTTGCCGCAAGGTCCATGATGCTCAAGATGAATATTACTGTACGGAATGATGAGTACTTGGACCTCTTTGGCGTCGAACAGGGTGACAGGGTGGAATGGGTTATCTAGGACCAAGGGTCCTGGAATGCGGCAGTAATGGCCGCCCAAGGCAATCGCCCGAATCAGAGTTCCTTTGCTGGCCTTTTGGTCGTGGCAATACCCGCGGTGGAAGATTTGGATCACTTTGTTCAGGAAGAGATTGGGCCGGACTATACCGGTGAGGATGAGGATGAGCGGGAGCTGGGAAGGGACAATCGCCCTAGCAACTCAGGGCCAGAAGATAATGGCGAGGGGCCTTCGCAGCCTTCGGATTTACCCAGGACGAAGGAGAGCACCGGTGGTGGGGGGGCAACAGAGGTTGGAGACAAGGGTAAGGATGTGGCCTCTGGCCAAAATGATAATGATGACGACTTATATAGTCGCCCAAGTGGTCCAAGTAAGTAATTGTCCAATGTATTATCAAACTTTGAGAATCTATAATCTAATTTGTTTTCCCACAATTTGCAGGGAGACAGGGCCCACCGATACCGGCTTCCCTACTTGACAGCCTCATCCAGAATGAACCGGATAGGTCAAGCCGCCGACATATCAGGGAAAACCAGGCCTTGGAAGATAATCAGGATGCGATGGCGGCTGCGGTCGCGGACACTACCACCACTAGCGATGGGGCCCTTCTTGGGCTCTGTGGTGACCAGCTCAACAATGATTTTGAGCACCAAGGGTTCGAAGAGGCCGTGAGAATGTTGGGGGCAGAACTGCTCATACCGGTCGAAGCCGATATCGGGCCCAGAATGCTCAGAATCCCAGGGATCCCCCGTGGACGATTCCTTCCCCATCAGGTCTGGGGTGTTTGGTTTATTGTAGAACGGATCCTCGCAGACCGTCCCCCTGTGGCCCTAATTGCTGATGATATGGGATTGGGCAAAACTCATTACGCACTTGCCACACTGCTCTACCTCAAATATATTGTTGATGAGGCTGCAGCAGGCAGAGCTTTGCCGTGCTTAGGTGGAAAGTCGGTGGCTGAACTGGAGGTTGTTCCGCGGATCTTTGGCGCCGATAGCAAGGTGTACAGGCGGCCTCGCATCATCATCGTCCCGGCCAACCGTGTCTATACCTGGGAGCGAGTAGTGCAGAGTTTGATTCCCCAGACTGGGGTCCAGCTAGTCAACCTCTATTTGAGTCGTCAGCTCAACCACAACGAGCTCAACTACACTTCGGACGACCCCGGGCGCGGTAAAGCCATCCATCTGATTTCCTATAGCTCCTACAGAGCCCGCTATAAACATCTGGACCGCTTGCAGGGCTGCCAATGGGGGATTGGAATTTTCGATGAATCGCATATGGCGAAATCCCGCGCAACCCAGACCTTCGACTCCCTGATGGAAATTGATGTACCCTGCCGGATCCAGTTAACCGGAACCCCGATGCACCACACAGTTGGCGATTGGGTTCCCCAGACCGAGTGGCTGTTCGCCCAAGTCACTGATCAAGATGAGCTCGATAGCCACGGTCCGCGCCTGCTCGACTCAGCAATTATCGAGGCGAAGCGCGAAAATATAACATTAGAGCAGGCATATGACCGGATCAAGAGCATTGCCTGGCCGTGGACCATCCGGCGCTGGGGAGAGACTAGGGACGCAAACGGGCAGCCCCTGGTTTGCATTCCCGAGCTTGTGCAGCATGACGTCCGTCTGCAATACACCACCGATGAGGCTAACGCAATCGACCAGTGGATCACGGACGCCAAGGGTAACAAGTGGAACGCTATCCAGACAGTCTTGCATGAGTGGCGCCTTGCTTGCCTCACCATGGACCTACCAGACAACGATGTGAGCTCCGAGGACTCGGAGTCTGGGGAGGCTGCAGTTGTCCATCGCCAATCCTGGAATCGCAATGACTTCCACGGTGGGCCTACTCTTAGATGGCTTTCAGAAGTTTTCGTTCCACAGTTGTTGGGACCACCTGAAGGAGGGGTACCAAATCAGGTCATCATTTTTGCCCCATTGCCAGGCCAAGCATCTTACGTCAACTGGTTCCTCCGGACCGTTCATTCCGGTATTCATACCATCTTGTATCACGCTAGAGTTGCCTCGAGAGACCGGGATTGTCTACTACAAGAGTTTGCTTCGGGCGATAGACCGGCTGCGCTTATCCTCACTCCAGCCCGTGGTGGGACCGGGCTGAACCTTGTTGCGGCAAACCACGTTATTATCATGCAAAAATTCTGGAACCTCAATGAGCAACGTCAAGCAGTTGCGCGGATTCACCGCATTGGTCAAAGACGCTCCCCAAAAGCGTGGGTCCTGCACTGTGAGGGAGCTGTAGATGATAGGGCCGAAGAACTTCACCAGAGCCGTGGAAAGTTTGAGGCGCGGATCATGCATGGATTGATTGGGCAGAAATTCTCCTATATGGAGTTAATGGACGCCAGGGCAACTAGAATCCGTGAGCTTGAGCGGGCACAATCTTCTACACAAGCTGTTCCCGATCCTTCTGGAACTCCGGGTGGTGCTGGTGGTGATAGTGAATGATGGTGCTCCCGGTCCTTCTGGGGACTTGTTTTGTTTTTTCTCACTTTTCTGGGTGGGTTCGCATTTTTTTCATTCCTTTTGGGTTCGTAGCAGGCTATAGATGGTGGTTTCTTTCTTTCTTTCTTTTGTCTTGGGGCTGGCATTTAAAGGCTCTTGCCTGGCTTCCCTCCGTGGGAGCGTATTTGCACAGTGCATTTGTTTGTTTTTCAGACTTTTCTGCCTGGGTTGGCATTTCTTCATTTCTGTTGGGTCCGCAGCATGGTATAGACGGTGGTTTCTTTTGTCTTGGGGTCTGCAGCATACTATAGACGGTGGTTTCTTTCTTTTATCTTGTGGTCTGCGTCTTAGAGAGCGTCTTAGAGCATTAGATTTGGGGTTTACAAGGTCAGTCTTTGCATATCGGTAGAGTGGTTTCTTTTGTCTCGGGGTCTGCAGTTTACTATAGACGGTGGTTTCTTTCTTTTGTCTTGTGGTCCGCATCTTAGAGTGCGTCTTAGAGCATTGGATTTGGGGTTCACGAATTCAGTGTTTGCATATCGGTGTAGAGTGGTTTTTTTTTTTGCATTTTTTAGGTCTGCATTTTATCTGTCTCTGGGTTCAGGAGCTTGCATTTGATTGGAGGTTGCTTGCGTGAAGGGTTGAGGGTTGGTTTCTCTAGATGTTAATAGCGGTCTTGTTAGCTCAGCGAGATACCTATCTTTCTCCTTTTTGGCTGTTCTATATGTGACTCAACTTGAAGTTAACTGATTAGACGAGGACACGCTGCACAGAGAAGCCAACCATGCTCACGCTTGAGATGGTCAACGACGCAGACCCGTGTCACGGACCGCCTTTCTAGTACATTCCACGGGATGGTTTACTTGAAATATCCTAAGCAGGGTCTGAGTTGAGAACATGCCGGCAGCTACCAAATGTGCACCCACGGACCCGATCGCCTGCCTATATCTTCCGGCCCAATACTTTGCGCTTTACACTTCACTCTTCACCTCATACTTTCTGATCCGGACAACTAAAGACATGCCGCGTGCAGGAGAGAATACTCGGAATACTCAGACTAATCAGACCCAGACTCGAGCTCCTCGCTCTTCTGGCTCTCAGCGTGTTGGCAGACGACAGGACCCGATCAGGCGTGTCTGTTCACCCGAGCACCCTGCTCGTCGTTCAGATGGCGAATCTAGCGACGGAGAGGAAGATAATGCTGAATTTTCTAGTGGTAGGGTACTCTATGTAATTTGGAACGTTTCTCTGTACTAATTTTTACACTACGGGAATAGTGCAACATGCACAGGTAGTTCCACAACCACCTTCAACTGTTGCATCGGACGGTGATTTCTTCTCTCAGTCCGATGTGGTGGAATTCCGCCCTCGTAAGCGGACTCACATAAACCTTGAGGCTCCTGGAAACAGCGATGGGAGACCTGTTGTTAGGAGACATTCACCAGCCGAGAACCGGCGGTCTACAGGCACAAGGCAGCAATCTCGGACACAGGTCGACCTTCACAAGAGGGTGCGGACCGAGTTCGCTTGGCAGCAACCCCGCTCTCTCGAAGACACATCACCATCTGAACCGCAGACACCATCAGACTCCGCAAGTGCCACATCGGAGGGCAAACTACCACGCAAGTTCTGGAAACGAGAGTTTATTCCCCCAGAAAATATTCTTGTTTATGATGCAGCGAAACTTTATTTACAAGGAGAAGTCTATACAGGCCAACCTTGGCCTTCCGCGGCCGTGATGGAGAATATGATCGAGAGTGCTTGGTCATTAGCATTGGACCAGAGAAAGCGGGAAAAAGAAGAATATTACCGGTCAGGGGACCAGCGGCCTGCGGAACAAACACCCTCGACCCTTCCTGATGCAATCTCATTAGAGATGGTGAGTCTTGATATAACCCACAATGAGGATCAACTGAATCAGAGGCTAAAAGTTGTGTAAGTTGAAACGCCAGGTGTCGGCTTGTCGTGGGTATCTAGTTTCAGAAGCACGGAAGATGGTAGTGGAGTGGTATAAGTTGCCGATCGCGGACCCAGTTGAGTGCCGGACTCTGGTCAATAGTCTTCTCAACGATGATACTTTTCTTCGCCAGACCGTAGATCTCGGAGATGGTCCTCGGACTAGCTAGTTTACGGTAGAGGAGATTGCAAAGCTGATGCGTTCCTACTTTTTCGCCAACGAGCGCAGCCTAGCCTGCAAGCGCTATACGCAGCAGTACTTCAGCCCTCTGGGTTGGCCCACGGTGCTTCTCGAGTGTACTGCACTTCGCTGCTCCTTAATGGACTACGCAGATACAGGACACAAGTCCCTAGCTGTCGCAGATTTCTCACAGGCCGTGTTTGGTGGTTAGTAAGTCATTTCTCTGAGTGAACAATGGAGCTAAAATACTAGGTTAACAGACTACTACAAGAGGTACTATCAAACATATCAAAAGGTGGGTCTGCGGACTGCTATTGCCTGAGAGATATGCTTTTTTGAATTATGCTAATCCAGTCTCGAGAATAGATGTCAGAGGCACGGAAGAACGCAATAATACGAAAGATTGAGAAGCGCGTGCAAAAGATCCGGTCACAGTATGAGACCGAATGAATCGAGACGACTGGGTACGAGGATGATATGGGAGATGATGTGCGTGACCTCATCGAGAGCGACGAAAATGCCTAGCAAGGGTCTGCAGACCCTTCTGCATAGCAGACACGCCCCTATGCTACGGGAGGAACGGATAAATGCAGAACAGCAGGGCAAAGAATTGGGTCCTCAGCGGAAGGGTAATTGCGAGGGGGAGGGTGGTCCGAAGATGAATGGTGGTCGAGAGCGGAATGGTGGTCCGCTAGTGAACTACAAGCGAGGCCGAATTGAAGCCGGACACTGTATGCGGGGTGCAACCCGAGTATCTGGCTTCAATTCGGCCTTATCAGTATTTTGTGTGGATCGAAGGTATTTCTTTTTCATTTCTTCATTTTTCACGGTAATCATTCTGTTTGTAACTTGGCGTTGGTGTGGTGAGGCGTGGGCGCAGCGACATAGACATAGACTAGACTTCTTATATTAATTAGTAGGTGCGCGGGAGGGGGGAAACCTTCGTGTTCTATATTCTTAAATGTAGGTAGAGAGAGAGGGTCGCAAAGAGCATTTGTCCACCAGGATTATTAGATATCTAGAGAACAGCATAATGTCGCAATTGTGATGACCGGGTTAAGTGCAACGCGTATATGTTGCGACGAGTACCCTGATCGTGGAAGCCAGAAGACCCCAGGGCCAAAGCTGTGCGAAACAGGCGACAGGGGGGAGAACGGAACGCGCATCAGGGGAGGGCTGGTCCGTGGTGGGACAATCATAGTAAAGCCAGTGTGGGGCAGAGGCAGAATAGGAACAATCAGGATCATGCTAGAGCAGATCGAGAGGCAGACCGCAAGTTAACAGCATGCGAAGGAGGATGTAAGCAAGAGCCGGGAGCGACAGGGTACGCGGATAGAAGGTTGGAGGGACACGGGGAGGGGCAGTGATAGGATCGGGTTCAATTGGGGGTGGAAAGGTAGGACCTGAGGGTAGTCGGAATCAAGAATGCGTAAACTGAGAAACGAGCGTTACGGACCAGGATGGCGTTGGGCTGGGGAAGGCACAGGTCCAGAAGTAGAGAGAGCCATGGGAGAGGAGGCCGGGAGATGATAGAAGAGTCAAAGCAAGAATCAGGGGGAGCAGGGACAAGGGGAGGGTGGACCAGGACCGCACTACAAAGGTCCGAGTAGAACAGGGGGACCTCGGTGCTGGGTGGTGGACCACGAGGTCCAAGAGGACCAGGAGTGGCCAGGTGACTTCTGGACCGGCTGAAACATTTTGCTGATGGAGATATAGAATAAGAGAGGAGAAGGTAGAAGTTTGTTGCAATAAGGATAGAAGGAGGATTTTGTAAGAACAAGAAACAAAGAGAGAAGACTAAAGTAAGATATACTATTAGGACTATAATTTGTAAGAGAGAAAAATGAAGTATTCAGAGGTGGGAATGGATTTGACCCTATAAATTTGCCAAGATTCAAAGTTGGTCACATACTAAATGAAATATGATTAATCATATATGATTAGAAAAAGAAAATTTTACTAGTCACTACTATTAATAGTAAAGTAGAACAATATTATATTCTTATTTAATATATGCTTTAAACTTTTAGTATAGTTTTCATCAAGTTCCATATACTAGAAGTAACTTTAAGAGAAAAATATAGTTGAAATAAAAAACAAAATTCAAAGAAAAATTCAAAGAAAAAAATTGGATAAAGTTTCCAACTTCTATTACATGGTCCAATTATGAGAAGCTTGCATATTTGTATATAATATAGACAAGACAGATTTTCTGATATGTGGAATATCATCTTGAGAAAATTTTAAAGGATCTCCCTTCAACAAAAGTGCTGCAGAATGTATGACAAATATAGCACAGTCATATGTGTTTTTCTGCTTAGGATATGTATTCTATTATATTTAGTATCTGGTATCTGATTAACAATGAGATGCATATACCTGAGACTTTTGCCATTTCCATTTCAACTTAGGATATGTAGAAGAAATAGGTGGTTTATCAGAGTCTTACTGTAGAGACTCTTGGATAGAACAGTTCTGCAGTGACTGCAAAAACCTCTGTGTTCTCTGAATATTGTTAGCATAAGAGTGGTTGATTTGAAGAATAAAACATACCTGCATCTGATCAGCTGATAATGTATTTCCCAAAGAATCATACACCTCAATAACAGATTCCAAAGATCCAACTCTAACTCTTAGCAGAATCCAATGATCTATAGGATCCATTGGAACCAGAACTGGGAGATATAAGTACTCAAGATACTGCCAATTAGTAACTGTTGTTAGTTCTTTAGAAATAGTAGTTATCATTTCCTTCATATATGATTCACTATGCCAATCTAGGAAACCTGAACAAAGAGTTGATAAAAATATAGAAGTTAAACAATCAGAAGTGAGAGGATGGGAGGAAGAAAATATACTAGAAAAC